TCATGGATGGCCAAGCAAGATCAGAAGTCTGAAGACATGGCTCAGTGGATGTCCAAACAAGATCAGAAAAATGAAACCATGGCTAAGTGGATGTCAAAGCAAGAACAATCCTCCTCTGAGATCACTAATCTGTTGAAGATGATTTTGTCCAAACAAACTTAGTCTATTTTCTTTCTGTTGTTTGTGCACCTATACTTGCTGTTTATCTGATGTTTTGTATCTTTTGATCTATATGAATGAATGACTAAGTGTTTTTCTCTACATGATTTATCTTTTCTGTATTTCCTATTATTTGTCCTTTAAAGTTTTTTTTACTTTTTGATTATGACAAAAAAGGGGGAGAAAATAGATCTGACTGTTTAAATAAACTCTACCTAAATGAGACTTCAGACATATCAATTCTAACTAATGTAAACTCTTAGTGTTTCAGAACGTTTGATAAATATGACATATTCACTAAAAGAAACTATGATAATATTTTACTTATCAGACTCTGACTCTGAAACATGCAAGATCTAATAGTTGGAACATTCAGGCTCTAATTCTAAAGAGAATACTCATGCAAAAAGGGAAGTTTCTATTCCCTCTTAGTATTCAATTCAGGGGGAGATTCATCATCTCAGGGGGAGTTATAATTATTTTCTTTTCTATTGAACAAAATTTCTGATGTTTTTGTCATCATCAAAAAGGGGGAGATTGTTAGAACACAGATTGGTTCTTAATAATATCTCTATGTTTTGATGATAACTATTATGAAATTTTGTATTAAAGAATTATATACTCTAAAATTTTCTTAAGAATGTTTGCTGCAGATGTTAAAGTAAATATTACTCCAGAAGCAAATTAGATCTGAACATAAGAAATATGCAAGGCTCTGAAGCGTCAGAAGCATCTCTTAGAAGACTCTGAACGCTGCCTCCAGAATATTCTGAGCGCTGCCTCCAGAAGAATCTGAAGCAGAAGCTACAGAAGAATCTGAAGCAGAAGCTGCAGAAGAATCTGAAGCAAAAGTCAGAAGCATCTGAAGCAATAAAGAACTCTGTATGAAGAGTTTCAAGCACAGTTACTTCAGAAGACTCTGATAGTACTAACGATGCCAGTACTAAGGATCTGACCCAAAACTCTGCTCTGAACTTATACACGCTGAAAGCACACTTGCTGCAAAGACTCTGATTCAGCAAACTCTGATGAACATCGGAAGGCTCTGATCAATTTAGACTCTGATGATTCTTGCTGAAAATTGTTGAAGAAGATTTCAAAGTTATGTCCGTTGGAATAACCAAACGACTCTTTCCTTATTTATGCTAGACACAAGAACACAGACAAAAAGGATTTCTCTGTGCATTCTTCTTCTAGGAAAGGTCACATGATGTGAAGACAAAAAGGCTCAGACCTTTTTGGGACACTACTCTCAACGTGAAAATCTCTTGGATCATTATGCCTATAAAAGCAAGTCTCCACTCATCTTCTTCAGTTGACGAAACACTTGAAAAGAATACTTCACAAAGCTCTCATACAACTCATACATTCTTGCTAGAATTATTTCATTGTTCTTTATCTTAAGTGAAAAATCACAGTTGTGATAAAGCTTTATTAGAAGCATTTTAACACTTGTATTTATTATTACATTTGATTGTAAGAGAACCTTAAGAAGATCCAGTTAGGATCAGTAGTTCTTGAGAAGACTTTGAACAGTTGTTCTTAGTGCTTACTATTGTAATCAGTTGATTAAATAGTGGATTAAGTCCTTGCTTGAGAAAGGCAAATCACTCTAGCTAGGGTGGACTGGAGTAGTTGAGTTCAACGAACTAGGATAAAAATCCTTGAGTTTTTATTTCTAAGTTTTTATCTTCATACTTATTCAACCCCCCTTCTAAGTATTTTCTCACCTTCAGATTTTACCCTGAGAACCCTAATTTAGCAACTCCTCACACCTTGAATTCTTCTTGAATAGATCTTGGAATATTATCTCATGTGTCTCAACACAACTATCCATGGTTACCGAGACCTAGAATTGAGTTTTGATCCTCTTCAATTGCCCAGTTGACTTGGAATTACTCAGATGAAAACCCTACTTGCAACACCAGCAACTGTGACTTTCCACACCTGGCATAATGACTTGATTGAGCTCCACCATGACCCTCAAGGCACTCCCTGAGCTCTATCCACACATTCTCTCCTTGATCAAGGCCTTACAATCCACTGCTGATCTTCAACTGGTCCTCAAATTAGGAGACTAACCCCATACAAGCAACTGAACTTCTTAGGAACCCAGCTCCCTTCCTGATGATTATGGTGACTTCTTAAGCTTGAATAAAACCTCTAGATAGGCTTCTCTAGATATAAACCCCACTTGATCCCCTGCACAGGTGAACAATGCTATGCTATGCAAATGTTAGATCAATGATATGCTAATGTAATGAGACATAAACCAAGTAAGAAAAGGTTAGGCAAATTTTGGGGTGCAAGAACCTTGATTGAGGATTCCTTGATAGATGACGTTGGTTTTGAGGATCCAATCTTTTTGGATCCAGTTACTTGCCATAAATCTCTAACTTTTGAAAGATGGATGTCGGTGGACAACGAAGCAGACCACAGGCAGCACGACCCTACTGGTTGTAATAACTTTTTATCCTTGAATGTTTTTCATCTTACCCATTTCATATTTGAGATAATTCTTGATCCCTTAATGCTTTTTTATTTTCATTTCAGACTTGGATCCTCCAGCACTTCCCGGGCATCACTGGTTGGTCATGTTGGGATGAGTACACTGAGGAGATGCTTCATGCCTGTGCTTTTTTTCTGCTGAAGGGGAACCAGGCGGCCGAGCCTTTCAGAGTCTATCTTGATTGCTTGGCTGTCGAGGACATCTACTTCAACTGTTACATTGATCACCATCAGACACGCCCATTTGACGACATATCGCTATACTCCGGATGGCTGGCCTGCTCGTCGAATATAACTGCTCCATATCTGCGTGAGCGCGTACATGGTGCCGACTGCTCCAGAAGATCCGCCGAGACCCGTTCATCAGGAGATTCTAGAGGAGCAGCTGGCTCAGAAGGATCATACTAAGAATGTCTTGCCTCGTTTTTGTCGCATAGTGGAGATGGTGCGGGCAGGCATTGACGAGGGTATCTTCCTTGAGGGGTTTGCTGTCAGGCGAGTACTGGATGACATTATTGTGGAGGCACATGGGACACTTTTGTACTGCAGACATCGCGCGAGGACAGGGGGATCGATGACCGAGGAGAAAGATTAGGCAAAGGAGGTACATGAGGCAGAGGAGAGGTTGTCAGGCACACCCATTAGTTGTATGTATTTATTTTGTTTCAGTATTATAATTTGTACGTTTCTCCTGACATTGTTAATACATTTTGGATTTACGTGACGTATGACATCTTATTACTATATTTTTATTTTATTTTGGTTTGTGTTATTTTATAATTCATCTGCAAACAAATACGCAATGTGTTTTAAAAAAAATCTGTTCAAAAACACTTCGGAGATGTATCTCCAGAAAATTTTCGTAAATGCATCTTCGGACAAATTCAAATGGAAATGGGTTATGAGAGATATGTTGTGACCGTTTAAGATTTAAATTATTTTGAAAATATATCTTCAAAATATTATTAAGCCATGAAGCGCGTCTAGAGATATATCTCCAAAATCTAAGAACATTTATGAAAAACCACCTAGTGAAAAAAAAAATCCATGAAATGTCTTAAAAAATCCTCTTTCATATATATCCAACACTTTAAAGCTCACTCACACCTTTATCAATCACGTACTCCTGTCTTAATTGAATATAATGCAATAAATACTACAATAGTAAAATATATAATTGAGAAAAAATTAATATTTTATTTAAAAAAATTATTTACTTTTTATATATTTAATGTATTTGAATAATATATAAACTATATATGACATATTCAATAAATTATAATTATAATTATAAGAAAAGATTTATTTTTTTATATACATTGAATAATTAATATATCAAACAATATATAAATATATTGATAATATATATTATTTATTCAATACATCTAAAAATAATTTTTATTTTATAAATATCTAACTAATGCAGGTCACATAATTTGAGGCAAAAAAACTTTACATTTTAATGAAATTATTTCTAATTTAAATTTCATTCAACCAAAAATATATAAACAAACAACTTTATAGTTATTGTTAGAGGACACAAAACGAGTCGTGGTCCGCAGGACTAGTTCGCGCACGCGCCAAATAATAACAGATTGAGTTGGAATTTTGAACCTGCCGCCCGCTAAAATCTATCATTCGCAGAAATCTGCCGCAAATATTCATTCAACTTGTCTCATCTTTTTTAATTAATTATGATAATTTCACTTTTTATAATTTTATTTTATATATTATTTGAGAATATGTAATAAAAGTAAAATTTATTAAAAAGATATTTTATAAAAATTATTCTAAAAAATAAATGAAAAATTTAATTGAAATGTTTACAAGTTTATTAATTTATTAAAAAGGTGAAAAATAATAAGGCGGCCGGTCTGTATTGCCACCCGTCATTGCTAAGACTCATAGTCAAATACTCCTAATTTCAACATTAAAAAACAACACAAAAGGACGAATCTTATTTTGTCCTCTAGCCAATCCACCACCATCAACCTTTTACTTAACCAATAAACAAAATAAATATTAAAAAGTACCACATTTGTGTGAACCATGTGAAATACTCACATTGCACCTTTGCTTCAAAGTTCTAATCATAATTTCTTAATATTTTAAATCTTCCTCAACCATTATAAATAACCAAATAAAACAAAGAATTAAAATAATATAATATTTCTTTATCTACATCCTCACATCATATTTTTTTGTCATGTACCTTGAAGTACACTCTAAAGTACAAAACCAACAAAATAAATAAAGAAACATATAAATTATACTTTTTTTTCAACCAAAACAAACACAACCAATATAAAAGTACTTTATGGGACAAATCCAAATCATCTAGCATCAGAAGAAGTAAAGGAATCTGCAAACCCAGAAGGCTTTGCTGGTATACTTCCTTTACTATCATTAGTACTACTTGCATAGCTTATATCTTTCCCTTCTGCTTCCTTCCAAATCTTCAACATTTGCGGTAGCGGTTGACAAAAGTCGATTCCGCCGGTGTAATCAAACTCCTCGTCAACCGGTTGCCATTTCTCTACTAACTCCGATAGCACTTTGACAGCGTGCCCCATGTCCGGCCTATGGCTGGCTTCCCGGGCGGTGCAATGTCCGGCAAGTTCGGCTACAATTGAAATGCTCTCGAATGTTTCTTCGTTTACTTCAAGCGATGGATCGATTGCAGCCTTAAGCTTTTCTTCGTTGGATTTGATTTGCCAAAACCATTCGGCTAAGTACCGGTTTTCCTCTGGTCGGCTCTCATCGAGAGCTGTTAATCCAGTTAGAAGTTCCATCAACACGACACCGTAGCTGAATACGTCCACTTTAGTCGTGATTTTTCCCATTACTGAAATTTGTAGAAACTTTTAGTTAGCTGCAAGTTTGTGAAGAGATGTAATAGACAATGGATGTGATATGAGAATGATATAGCTCATAAATTGGAGAGAACTCTAAAACTATATTGCGGTCACAATTGCGACTGCAGAATGCAAATTCAAAATATGTTAAAGTCACTAGGGATAATTCTAAATTGCAGTCCAAATCCGCAATTGTAACCACAATATAAAGGTTTTATAGGTCTCTACAACAGCATCGCAACCAAAATTGCAGCTGCATTTGTATTTTGGTGCAAAATTAAGGTTTTTGCAGTGTAACAGCAACCGCAATTTAGAAACATACGGAGAAACAATGTGCTAATATGCAAGAGATTAACATGATTCCATTCTTATTTCCATATCATAAACCATGTAATTATCTATGAAGCACCGGACACTGGACACGACACCGACATATCGACACTGGTAATGATATAAAAAATATATTGAATGTAATCACAAATGTTGGTATCGTGCTGGTCTCAGTGTCCGGCACTGACACGGTCACGCCTTTTTTCCAAAGGTGTCGGTTACAAGGAAGGTACATAGTTGATGTAAAGCAAAAACATACCTGCATATTCAGGGGCGAGGTACCCAAATGTTCCAGCAAGTTTTGTTGCCAAAGATTTTTCACCGTCGGGCGCAAGTTTCACCAAACCAAAATCAGCGACTTTTGCTCGAATATCATCACCAAGTAGAATATTCGAAGACTTGAGGTCTCGATGGATGAAGATTTGTCTAGCAAGACTGTGAAGGTATTCCACCGCTCTAGCAACGTCTAGTGCTATAACAAGCCTCTGCGACCAAGACAAAGGATCCAAATTCAAGCTTTTCCAATGGAAAAGATGTCTGCTTAGAGCCCCAAGAGGCATGTATTCATAAACCAAAAGCCTCTCGTTTCCTTCAATGGAATAGCCTAGTAGGGATACCAAATGTCGGTGACGAACTTTGGAAAGAACGGCTATTTCTGCTTGAAACTCGTCGAGTCCTTTACTGCTAATGGTTCCACATTCCATTCTTTTCACTGCTATTTTCGTCCCGTCTTCTAGTTCACCTTTGTAAACAGTTCCAAACCCACCACGGCCGAGCTCATTTTCCGACGCAAAATTGTTGGTGACCTTGCGTAGAACTTGAACCGATATGACAAGGTTACCACCAGACTCAGTTACATGATAGCTTTCGGTTTCGCCGCTATTGTTAGTCAGAGAACTTATTCCTGTATTCGTCGATAAGCTTCCCGTGGTGCTATCCGACACCGCTAATTTAACCATCACTTTAGGATCGGACGGATCTTGAGCGTGGGACACAGCAGAGCTAGACGCGTCAATTGAGACTTTCTTCTTATTCTTCTTCCAACAACATACAAAGAAAACAATAACCGAGAGTGCTACAAATCCAAAGACTACACCTCCCGCCACTATTGCAACTATTTTGAGTCTATTCGACTTACTAGATTGAGGATTTGATTCGACATTTCTAGACTGATTAGATTGTGGACTATCGGAGGATGGGGGCAGCTTTGGTTGTGGCTTCGGCACGTTGTGTGGTGGTGAAGGCAGTGCGCCTAAAGGCGGTGGAGTTAAAATAGGAGCAGGAGTCGGTCGAGGTTGATTATCGAAAAGAGGGTTACCGTCAACGATAACCTTCACGCCCTCGTGGAAGTTTGGCAATGGAGATTCAATATTGTTATCACTTAAATCCAACAACCTCAAAGATTTCAATTCAGTAAAATTACTCGGAACCTTACCAGTTATATTATTTCCCGAAAGCTTAATTTCAAGCAACGAATCTAACATAGCAAGCGAAGGACTCAATGTACCAGTAAGATTTTTTCTAGGCAGATTGATTATCGATACCGAGTTACGAATGCAGCTCAATCCAAGCCATGATCCTCCACACGGATCATTACCAACCCATTTAGAAACAACAAACGACGGATAATTCAAACCGGAGAGAAAATTCAACAATATATTAACATTAGGATCACATTCAAGACCAGGTTTACTTTGACAAAAGGAATTCGAAGCATAAGATACTATTGCAGCCTTAAACTTAGGTATTGGACCGACAAACATGTTATTATCTAACTGAAGTTTTTGAAGTTCCATATTTGCTAATGAATCAGGAATCAAACCAACAAGTTGATTACCATTGAGGTTAAGCTCCCGAAGAGAAGTTAAATTCCCGATATTCGACGGAATCGTTCCGGTGAACTTGTTTCCATGTAACCAAACCTGTGTCAAAAATGTCATAGAAGCAATAACATCAATAGAACCTGTCATTCCACCCCCTTGTTGATTATTCAACCATAGCGCCTGTAACGACGATTGACCGAAACTACCCGGAATTTCCCCTGAAATTCTGTTTCCCGAAAGCCTCAAATTCGATAAAGACGACAATGTGCCTAGAAAATCAGGCAAAGGACCAACCACATTACAGCTCACCAGAGAAAGATTCACCAACTGAACTGAATTTTTCAATCCCAAAGGAAACAACCAACCATTAGTAGCATTCAAAGGGTTTACTTCCAAAGACAAAACCTGAAGACTATCGAGTCCTTCGAAGAAATCGACCGGGATTCCGTCGAATTCATTGTAATCCAAATAAGCATATTGTAATTTGGATAATCCACTCAAACTAGGTAACATTCCAGATAAATTGTTTCTCTGAAGACCTAAATTCTGAAGCTCAGAAAGATGGTTGAAATTCGAAGGCAAGGAGCCTTTAAGACCAAGATTCTTAGCTTGAATCTGAGTAACCCTACCATTGTTACAAAACACATAACTCCATTGAGGAGGACCACATGGATCATCTCCATTTTCAGGCCAATTGAGAAGCTCTGGATTCTTCAACCCTTTTCTGAAATCATTCAGAACTCTGAGATCATTAGGGTCAGTTTTACCATAACACAATGTAATCATCATCATAAGAGAAAACAAGAGAAATATGAAAACTTTAATCTTCATAGCTGCTATGAAAATGATAAAGGTTGAAACTTGGGAAGAAAATTCACAACCCCATTAAAGAAAACAATCAATATTTATCTAAATTGTATAATGAAAATGAGATTGTAACAAAATGACCCAGACGGAAAAAAATGAAGAACAGAACATTGGTGAGAGAGTGTTGTTTTGTTTGTTGTTGTTTGGTTACTCTCACCGACAAAGAGGAATTAAGAAAAGGGAAAATCTATTGACAAAATGGTGAAGTGAAGGACAAGAAGAGAGAGAAGAAAGATGTGTCAAAAGAGTGTGAGGAACTCTTTTTGTTCAAAAAGGACAAAAAAACAAAAAACAAAAATAAAAAATAAAAGTAGTAATAATATTTTAAAGATAAAAAGGTAGTAATATTCTAATGATAAAAAAGAAGTAAAAACATTTACAGGATAATGCTAACTTTTAAAAAAAATTATAAATAGTATATTTGTATTGAAAAGAACAATAAAATTATTAAATTTGTATTAAATTTTTTATACAGTTTTAGAAAAAATTTATATATTTATCTCTTAATTTATGTCACAAAGGCACAAATTAATATTATTCATATTTATAAAATTAAATCTGATATTAAATGAATCATAATTTATATATCTTTAACTATATTGAAATTTCAGTCAAACTATCCAATTAATATAACTATAAATATGGCTTTTACAACTAAGTAATTGATTGACTCACTTTATTTTAATTTTCTTTTTATAATTTGGATTTTTGCCTCTGGAATTAAGGAAGATTATAATAATCAGAAAATTCATCTTTGATTTAGAGAAAAAAAATCTCTTAACTTGTTGTTCTTAACTTTTTGTTCAAATGCTCTGAATAGAATTTTTATTTGATTTAGTTTCTAAAGTTTTGTTGCTATATTTTAGAAATATTTTAAATTTCAATGATAAAAAAATAATTATGAAATGTTGTTTAAATATAGTTTACACGTGTCAAAGTGGAATAGTCCATTTGTACGCTTTAAAAACAATACTGATAATCTAGTGTATAATTTTAGACTCATATTTTATAAAGATGCATGAGAGATGTTTATTTTTTATAATTATTTATTTAATATATATTTTATACATTTTTTAAGCGCTTGTCCAATCTTTAAAACAATTGATGAGACTTCAAAATTATAATTCACATAATTGATGAGACTTTAAAACTATAATTAAAATTTATGGTGGAAAGAGAAAAATACGTAAACATACATACACTCAATCTTGTGATCTACTATATATTAATTCATTAAGGATCTTAGGATTATCTAGATGGCTCTAAGTAAAAGATTTTCTAATATAAAGTGTAGAGACAAATTATTAATATTTATCTATTGATTTATTAACATTTTTTCAATCAATATTCCTAATGTCTTAAACAAATATATAATTGATTTGTTATTGAATCTACCATAAATTATTTGTAGAGTAATGGAGATTTTCTATTATTTCAAAATGTGTCATCATGACGAATTTATAATCAATAAATTAATTAGTTAATTTATAAATAAAATTTAATTAATTTTTTAATTTTATTTAAATACTTAATTATTTAAAATATTTAATTTGATAAAATAGATAATATATTAAAATAAATATTTCTACGTAATAATTATTAAAATAATATTAAAGTGTAAATTACTGTGGCAGCAGTTGATGAAACAAAACTAAATCAATTGAACTATGCTGAAAATTGTTCATCCAATTGGCATTAATTTTTATTTGTGTTTAAACTTTTAAAATTTATTTATTATCCCACTCAAAGAAAATTAAATTATCATATAAAAGTCTCTTCATATCAATTTTTAAACATTGAAATTAAGAAAGAGGAAGAGTGTTTGTTAGACCACTCAACTCCATACCACCATGACAAAACAAAAACTGTTCATTGTCTAAAACTTGCTCCTTTTTCGTTTTCCGACTCTTTTCTCTTTTGATGTAATTTTCCATTTCGTACAAAAACTACTAGTATTAGTCTATTATTATTAATGGCGATTAGTCATTTACCATGAGATGTTAAGCACTTTCTTCTTTTTTGACGCAATTACTCTCTTCTATATAAATATTTTATACTATTTAAGTTTAAGATAAGGATGAAAAAAAAAAAAAACACACACACACACACATATATATATATATATATATATATATATATATATATATATATATATATATATATATATATATATATATATATATATATATATATATATATATATATATATATATATATATATATATATATATATATATATATATATAGATATATAGATATATATATATATAGATATATATATATATATATATATATATATATATATATATATATATATATATATATATATATATATATATATATATATATATAATTTATTATTTCCAAACCTTCATTTTTCAATATAAATTTATAATTTTCAATCAAAACTTTTATTTGTTAAAGAATCAGAGTGTTCCGTGAAATAGTGAGATGAAATCTTAGATTGGTTGAGCTAGTTTTTGATGTGGTGGAAAGATGATTGATTTGTAAGGTTAACATTCATTCAAACGTCCAAGTTAATGAGAAAATAAAAAGTAATGTGAGAGTGAGAATGAATTTGAATCTTGAAATGATGTGTTTTACCCTTATATATTAAGAGCGATTGGAACTATTCATGTGTAATGAGACGTGTTGTGTGGACAACCATCTGATTGGATCGAATGATAAGTGATACGTTAAAGGGAAGAATTAGTTTTTTTTGGTTCAGCGAAGTTCTACATGTTCTCTGTACTTCTTAACTTGAGTTTCACTCTTGTGCCTTTAGTTATGGGCCTCGCAAATGGCATATAATAGTTACCCTTAAGCCTTTATTCCTATCTTGTAAAGTGAGGGCTTTATCGCATACATCTTTAGGCCGACTATTGACAAAAATAAGTGAAAAGTGTATATGCGATGTTATTAGCATTGGAAACATATGCGTTAAAGGTTTGTCCCTCAACGACATGTCATACGGAAGTCCTGATATGTGTCTCTATATCTGATGATAATGTTGTCTTTTCGCCTTATGGTACTCAAGTATCCTAAACAGTTCTCGATGAGATCATGACCGTTGGTGGAATGGTTTGTACTTCTCAACATGGTAAATCCCATTGTTCACTAGTGTTGAAATGCATATAAGAGGTTTTTGGTCTACCAGTTTTCTCTTTTCGGTGCTTGTGCGTGTAAGAGACCCTCGTTCTTCTTTGTTTGTAATTTCTCACTTGTTATCAGCTTTCTTGCACAAGTCTCTATTTATGACCAATTCATCTCCCTTCTTTCAATATGTGAGGTCTCAAACTTACTTATTTCTTCAAGGTAACACCAAAATCCCATTTTCATTCAATCTTGTTTTCTTTATTAGGGTTTTCGGAAAAAAAAAGGCCCATGTTGTTTGGCGGATGAAATCATTGTTGATTGGTGGCTTAGGTTGTCGCACATATTTCGGTAGACACATAAGAGATAGATTAAACTAGCTTTGTGCTCCAATTTTTTTCATTTATTTCTTATGTTGACAGAATCCATTGTAATAGAGGACATCTATCCCGAAGTTCGAAAAGCAATAGGAGACAACTCGTTAGTGTGGGTGGACCAAAAAACACTGGATACCGCTTCTACCTTTGTTGGTGAGGGTGGTTTAGACCATGCATTCACGACAGTGGACCTCGTGGAGATTGGGGGTAATTCCCCCTTAAGAAGACAAGTGGATGTACGAAAAAAATACCACGAGTGTGTTGCTCCCCTTCATGAATGCTTATTCTCCTTTATAGGTTTTCGCCTCCCCTTCAACGATTCCGAGATCGACATGCTTAACCATTTATTAATCTATCCTTTACAATTTCATTTTGTGAGTTGGGCCTACATCAATGTCTTTTAGTACTTGTTTAAATATAAGAAAGGTGTGCCTACCATGTCGCTCTTCTTACATCTTGTTAAGGCCCAACGTAATTCTGCTGACTCAACATGAGATTAAGGTCTAATATCTCTCATGCAATGTACCAAGATGTTCAGGGTCTACTAGAAGAGTGTGAAACATTTCAAATGTCAATACTTCTTGGTGACTTCCCTCGACGACATATGCACCATAGAACCAAGGCCTCCCTATTAATTTTTGGAAATTTTTTCCAAGTTCAAGTGTTAGAGTCATTTCTTGGCGGATTCCGGACATAATGTCTACAAGATGGATGATTCATCTCAATAGAAGTATTAATTTAAAAGTAAATTGTTATCTTTCAGTGAGGGTCTAGGCTACGTCAATGGCGCTGTCTTTTCAGATGTTGCAGAAAAAAATCAAGTGGGACAATACATAGATGTGAAATCAAGATCCTCAAGAGATCAACATTTGTTTTGATGAAGACAAATCACTCAAGAAGGCAAAGATGATCAACCATGAAGCATCAGGACAAAGATACAACTTTGAAGATGTTCTCATCTGAAGGTACAATGAGAATATCCATTAAGCATTTAAGTCCTAATTGCTCAAAGCTTTAAAAACAATTTTCATGACTTATTGCACTCTCACAAGCTTTTGAAAACATAATTTTTTCTAAGTTTTTCAAAGTGCAATCGATTGCACTCTTGGAGCAATCGATTGCATGATCAAATTTCATATCTTTTGGAAATTCCATTGAAAGAGAAGATTCAATCTCAGCATTGATTACCAATTATACATTGTTACAAATCTTACAAACTCAGAATTGTATTTTATTTTCCCCTTGCTGTTCAGGATTGTTGAAAGCAAGTGTGTGCATTAGACAGGATTGTTCTCATTGCACTTAGTGTTTAGAACTTAAAGGTGTTTTAAGAACCTTTGATCTCCTATAGGTTAGAGCAAATTGTACAATTGATCCTAACTATAGTGAAATCTCTTTCGTGTTGAAAGGGGAGTGGACTACCCTCGAGGTGTGAGGGGAACCACTATAACTCTCTGTGTCTCTTTTACTTTCTGCCTTTTCAAGCTTTCATAT